TCCGTTAAAAGTCCTATTACTCCTCATTCAAACCAACGTAGTGAACAAGTGAGAGAAAACGAGAAAGATAGAGAAAAGAGGTTAAGCCCTTGTCAAGTAAGGAAGAAAAAGTGGTAGGGAGGAGGAGAAATCAAAGGAAGAAGTAGCGGGTGTTGTGTCGACCCGTTCGAGATAAGAGAAGGAAGGAGAGGGAAGAGGTGGCAGCATCGAAGGCTTATTTGGGTCGAGCCGCGATTGTGGAAGAAAGAAATCGAATGAGGCGATTATGCGTTTGTGATCTATTGGGTTGAGACGGAGCCAAAGGAAGACAAACTAACGTGATCGAACACAGAGTCAAAGCTCGTGCCCTACCTGTGAAGTTCAATTTGAGTTGAGTTGTGCGTAGGAGAAAAGGATGACAAGTCCAGGTTTCTACGGTGCTCGCGTGCAGGAAGCAAAGGAGGAAGGGGAGTCGAGGCAGTTTGTTGCTATGTTCGGTTTCACCAAAGTCGTGAAGAAGAAGAAGAAGAAGAAGAGGGACAGAGCTCGCGTGTGTGAGCTTAAAGAAGTCGGTCATGAGGCCAAGGCTATAAAACTGAAGCCTAAGCTAAGTCATTTGAATCATTTAAGTTTTAATTATATAATTTTTTATTTATTAAATGGGTTATGATATTAACAATTAAAATGAGGTATTGTAGTAGAAGATTTTGAGGGAAAAGGAAGATTTGGACAAACAAAGGATTTAGCAGTATATTAGGGTTTTTATTAAGCTATTTAATGAATTGGTGAGTGTGTGTGAGTATAAATGCAATGTCAATTTAATCAAGACTTCAATAGAGAGATTTTAGCTTTGAAGGATAGGAAGTTGGAAGCGAGCGAGAAAGGAAGGAGATCGACCTGAAAGCCTATAAGATACATGTTAAACCTTGCATCATTATAGAAATTAATAACATAATTAGCTATGTTAATTAGTTAATGTTATTAAACTTTCTTAATGTTAGAAAGTGAGAAAAAAATCGGCTAATCTCTTGGATTTGAGGAAGAAGACGGATAACTCTACAAGATAAGGTATGTCTTAAATTAAAGTTTAATTTACTTAATTATGAATTGATATTAATAAAATATTAATGTTTAGCTTCAATTTAGGTTGAAGCACATTTAAGCCTAGAAAATCAGGGGTTCAGGAGTCAGTGTGGCAAAGTGAGTAAATATTTTCTTATATATATTAAATTTAAAGTTTATTAAATAAAAAATTTCTTTAAAGCTTTAGAAAATTATTTTATGTTGGTATGCATGTTGTAGCTTAAGAATGAAAGGAAACAAAAGGAGAAAAAGAAAAAAAATGTTTAATGTCTTTAAAAGGATGCAGTTTAAAAGAACTGAGAGTTAAATATTTAAGTTATACAGGATTACCCCCCCCAAACGGTACTGGCATGAGATGTAATGTACCCGTGCACGTTAAAGAAAATGGTAAAGGTGCACCTTTCGGTACATTCGGGTACATTTTTTAGGGTGTCTTTAGTCACATTTTGAAGGTGCCATCAGACACATTTTTTAGGATAACTTCAAAAATGATAGTAATCCTGTGATGACTATTAAAATGTTAAAAACGATAAATATTTAAAGTGAACGAGAATGGATAAATTTAAAGTTTTAATGAAATTAATTGCATTTTATGTTGGTCATTTATGCATAACATAGCACATAAATTTAATGCATATTAGATTATAATTAATCATCAAGTTATACTCGCTGTTGCAAATTAATCTTTTCCTTCTGGAAAAGATAAGTTTTAGGTTGATATTTATGATATGAGAGACTTGCTCTATCGGAGGACTATTATTGCTAGGTATTTTTATAATAATAGCTTTCTTTAATGTCTTTGTCAGATATTGATTTACTGTTCAGTTTCGGATTGAAAAATTGTCTGTGGATGTTGTTATTGTTGAATGATTTAAATTTTTGCACCTATGAATTAGTGACACTTTTACATATATTGGAAGTATCTTAATTTTTTGAAAAGTAAAATGAAATGTTAATACAGTTCGATCGCATTATCCGCCTTAGTTAATTCTAAGCACTGGGTTGGGTCGTGATAGATCTCAACCTATGCATTCTCTCAAACTCAAGTTATTCATTCTCTCAATCATATGCATGCATGAGTGAGCACGCACTAGCACATTTTGCAAATTCTAGAAAAAATACAACCCTTATGCAACTTAGCACTTAAAAAATACTAAGAAAAATCAATATAACAAAGTTCTAAAATACCAAAACTATTAAGAATAGAAATTGGACAAAATTCATTATAACAATTTGATAAGCTCAAAATCTCTGAGGTGAAATCAAGCTTTGAAAGCTAAGAGGAATGACTTTCACAAGCAAGTGAACAGACCAAATGAAATCTTCATGTTACCATCATTTCTCAAGAAAATCAACAACAAATGCACTAACAAGAAAGCTGCCTTACTAGACAAAATTTCAAGCTTTCCCTTCCACAACCACTGGGAAGTTTGTAGCATACCATGGATTTAGAATGAAAAGTTATTAGTCATATAGTCTTAAACATTAAACTCATACTACTTCCCCTATAAAACTATAATAGATTGAGAGCATATGAAGATTTCCAAATATAAAGAACATCTACACAAAAATATCATTAAGGTTGAGATATGAAGCTTTCCTGATATTCGCTTGGAATGAACAAACAATCAAAGATTTTCTCATTTGATTTCAATACGTAAACAATAAAATGACTATATATAGAGGAAAGGTTGGAGTAACATCTCTAAAAGATGAAATAGTTGAGAATAGACTGGAGTAAATTAGAAATATACAATAAGGGTAAAATTGTGTTGATTAGATGAGTAGATTAAATTAATTCCAAACTATTAAAAGAAAAGAAGAAAGGCCTTAAGTTAGATGGATAGTTCAAATTATTTGCAAAAAATATATTTAATAACTTTGGTGGCACTCAACAAGAAAGAATAAAAAAGTAAGAATTCATACCGTCGTCACCTAAAAGTTGGCAGAAGACTAATGTTGGTGAAGTAATGATGATAACAAATGACGGTTTTTTATTTAAGTCGCTAGATTTTGAAAATTGAAAAGTTACCCAAAAGCAATGCATGTCGTCTCTCAAAGATATATATTTGTATGTTTCTTTTCTCTTCATTCAACATGAAAATGAATGTCTCTCCATGATCTGTGGGAGCACTTTTCCTATTATTAAAGTCAATGAAACAACACCTAAATCTAAGCTTTTGTACTTTCATGTAAAAATAAAACACCAAATAAACCTAAAGATATAATTATTGCCAATCCTAAAAGGGAAATTCACAACTATAAACCTAGGGTTGCAATGAACCGAGTTGAGTCAAGTACTAAATTTTCCAAGCACATTCATTTATTTCATAACGAATTCGAGCCAACCTTAAACATGACTTGAGTTTTCAAGATCTTGTTCAAGCATGTTTATTAACTTTCTAATCGAGTTCAAGCCATAATCAAACCTTAATTGACCCTCCCTAATTATATAATTGATCTTTGATTTAAAAATATTGCCTAATTACTATCCATAATTGAATTTATAGAGTTTAATTAAAATTGACATAATTCATTAAGTATTATTTAAAATATTAGGTGAAATTTAAGTATTAAGAAGACAATGTTTAAATCTATATATCAAGCTATGTATTTGATATTTCAATCATAGATATAGCTCTAATAGTATAGATAATTTTTAAAATTTATAAGAAATACAAAAAATGATACAAGAACATAAACCAAGTCAACAAATAAGCAATTAAATCTTCACTAAATAAATAATTTATTGAGTTTTTAGGGCACTACTTGTTAAACAACAAATAAGCATGTTTACAATCATAAGAAGATCATGCAAATTAGTATTTAAGCTTTTTCATTGGTACGACAAACTTATAAAATGTTTATTCAAAGTTTTTTATTACGTGAATAAATGAACATAAATACGCTTATACAAATGAGATGAATTATTCATCATATGCACTGATTTGCTTGAAATTCTACAGAAACTATAGGCATCCTAATAAGCAATTGAGTACATGGTTCCATTTTTCATTTTAGGATTAGAAATTTTACATTTTACAAAATCATATGATTGAGGCCTCGAGTTTCTATAAATGAAAGAAAAAAAACTTTTGAAAATGTGGTGACAACTTGTTCAATAAAAATATGCCTACTGATGTTCTTCCTCGTGGACCCATTTAATAGATAAATCATTATGAAAAAATAAATTTTAAGTAGGTAACCATATTTATAATAACACAAAGCTTTAAGGTTCACTTGACCTCAGACATCGTAGTTGTCTTCTTAGTTCTTACTAGAGATGTAAACTACAATTATCTAAGTAATAAAAATTGAATCAAAGATTAGTAATTAAAAAAAAATCATCTTTAAAGGATGATGGCAGTGCATTATTCTCATTCTTTTAGAAAAGCAGTACTGCATTATATCGTAATACACATTCTTTTAAGAGAATAATAACCTCTAGCTTCCTGCAATGTTCATATGACTAGATTCTAACCTCTACTTTGCTGCATCGTTTAACACGACCATATTTTATTCACATCTGCCCAGCCCACCTGGCTGGCACCTACAAGCACACAAAAAGAATTCTTCACCCCCCACCCACAAACACACACAGTGAATTTTATAATATTTCTATCTCAAAAGATTTTAATACAAAAGCTCTCTGGAAACCACTATAGAGAAGCTGAAACTAAAGGTAAGCCCTAATCTCTACACAAACAAATTGTGCATGGATGAAAGAAAAGTTTAACAGAACGAAAAGAAATTCAGGTAATAGCTTCATCATAGATCTGGAACAATTCCTTTGAAACCTGAGTAATAGATTTTCTTACTTAAATAGTGATGCAAGGAGATACTCGACAGTCAGTTTCAACACGTTACAATCACAAAATGACAGGACATTAAGCAATCAATGTGAAAGTAATCACAGATAATCTGGATAACCAGCTTACCTCAACTCGTCCATGCAACACAATAATCTTGTCGGAAAGATTATTTGATTTCACAATTTCAATAGCCTGAAAATCATTCAGAAAAATAATTGCATTGAACAATTATTTTGAAAATAATTCCATCAAATGTGAATATGCAAAATGGGTTTACATTACAGGCATAGTCAACTAAATATGCAAAATCAAAATTGACTTTGTCCATTAAGAAAATTATAATTGAACAAAAAAATATGTTGGGAAAAATTGGAAAGAAAAATATTGCCAGATAAAACAGTCAGAAGAGCCAGTATTAGAGATTGTTAATGAGGAAACCATGTCACATTTATTTAGGATGCATTTTTCTCCCCTACTTTTTCGTAATGTCTGGAAAAAATCCTCAAGCAGTTGGTCATAATTCTTCACACGATAATGCAATACTAGTCTCAGTTATTTGTATAAATGTGCAATAATCCCAGATAGACTCTTGGCTGCAGCTGTTGATCTTTAGATTGAAAAGAGCAAAAATTTTTCTGTGCGGACTCCTAACATAGCTCTACGTGCGGCCGAAGTTATTTCTAAGTTATTTTCAGATTATTTCTAGGTTATTTTTAATAATACCGAAATAACCCAGAAATAACCGAAAAATAAAGACCGCGGGTTATTTCAGGATTATTGAAATAACCTGAAAATAACTCAAGATAACCTACGCCGCACGTACAGCTACGTCAGGAGTCCGGACAGAAAATGAGCTCTGAAAAGAGAGCACGGAGAGCTGCTCTTTGCTGTCTATAGAAGACAACTAGAAATGTTGAGTAAATTGGTGAGACAATGGCACCCTTTGAGAGTGCCATGTTGCATACTTCAGGAGATCAGTACTTATCCAAGAAGAATTTGTTGCAATTGGAGCACAATGATCATATAGAATGATCAATTCCTGGGAAAGCTCCTCATTAGTGAGCTTGAGTCGGCTCCACCAACCACCTAGCCTATGTAAAAGAAAGCTCCCCCAAAATTGAGAATCTATGGTGCATAATAAGAAGCTATATTGCTGCCCAAACCAAAAACCCTTTGAAAACCATAAATTAACATTTTTAAACCTGGCTTCATCCATAGCTTGGCGTTTGGCACCAATAATAGATCATTGCATGTAATTCAGTAATTTTATTAACTAAATAGTAGTTTTATATTTGACTTTTGAAAAGAAATAACTTGTGCCATCAGAAAGTAAAAAAAAACATTCATCTGTATAAAAGATTATCTTGCCCATTCACCACTTTTCACTGATTTGTTCTTCATACAGCAACATTTATTCCTATTTAGTCATAATGTTGCAATATTTAGAGATTACCGTAAAAAACAAGAACAAAATGTCGAGCAATTGAGTCAACAGAGACAATTTGAACTTCAAAGAATGAATGTTGATACCAGAGTAAAACCACTACAAAACGTCAAAAAGTGACTATTTAGGCAATTTATCAATCTGCCTCATCAAAGCCAGGAAATGACAGGCTTAAATTAAACTCAAAGTGATCGGGTAAAGAAACCTCTAAGGATATCCTTCAAGTACACATAGGGGTGGGTTGCTCGTTTTGCTAAAAAAAGGAATGTAGTGTAAATAAAATTCAGTGTAATTGCAATGTAATGTATTTGAGATATTTTTTTAGTGTTTGGTTCAGTGTAAAAAAAATACATATGTGACATGGGAATTGCTCGGTGGCCAACTGAACCGGCCAGCCTTCATGGGAGTCGTAATCGTCGCCCTTCCGTGTCCCAATTTCCTATTCTACTCCCTTTCATAAAAGGAACACCTTCCTCTTCTATTCCTTTCATATTTCTAGTCCTTGCCTATTTCTCTTCCTTCCTATTCTAACTAGGAGTACCTGTTAATATTTTTTTTTAAAGAAAAAGCCCGAGGGCAAATATATTAATATGGAAAATATATAGATATGTTGTATGAGAAGGCCTAAAAGAAAACTCAACTCATAAAATACAACACACACAAAATCCAGATAAAACAAAGATACATAAATGTTAAATGTAAAAAACCAACAAAAGGGCAGCCACAATAGGGCACAAAAAGTGCTAAGGACGTCCCACTTTAGTCCTCATACCTCTAGTTCTCGGAAGTGAGTCGGCTAACAAATTAGTAAGGTGAGTATCATTGCCCTAGTAAACAAATTATCATCCATCAGATTTCTGAGCTCAAGTAGATCTTCATTTTTCTTCTTCCTCCTGGATGTATAGACCTGTCATTCCTCATCCGATGATTGACTTATTTGATCAGTTGATCAGTAGATTCCAGATCAGTAGATTCCAAAGGCAGTCGGTCAAGTGTAGGTCGTTGCACGTCTTGATACTCATGAGTCTGAGTAATATTAACATCTTTCTGGACCTAATGAGGCGGTAGTGAAACAGTAGAAGTATTTTCACCTGTATTATCAGTGATAGGTTCTAAGGCAGGCGGGGTCTGAAGAAACTCCCTCTCCCCCACGATAAGAGGTTTTAAAGATGAGGAAGCTACAACTGGGGACTGAATAGTTGTCATATTGTCTGCATGGATAGTGACGTCATCCGGGATATCCTTTTGATGATCAATAGTGTCAAAAACTAGGAGCTGATGAGAAGGAGATGGAATCACAGCCTCTAGCGGAGCAGGCACATAGAATGGTAGTTGGGTCTGAGTTGGGGGTGTAGATGCTGACATTGAGAACTGGAACGTCCGAACATACGACAGTTCAAACAATAGGACGAAAAATGTTCAATCTCTACCTTCTAGTATTGTGTGCCTAACCAGATTTCCTCAGAAGCGGGTGAAGTGATGTCTTTTTCAACAAGTACTCTGGACAAGTACTCTAACAAGTACTCTGGCTTCAGAAGGACGAGACAGATTAAAAGTAGGAATGTCCGTCTTGAGTGGCTTCCTATAAGCTGAGGCAATAGAGTACAATACTTTTTAAGAAAAATAATGAAATTTCAGACCAAAGAGACGAATCCAAACCGGAATGATTGGCGGTTCCGTCTATGGGTCTAAATCCACAGACCATTTTAGAATCTTCATTGCTCTGTTATCCGTGGGTGATACTGAAGGTAACCCAAACCACAACGAAAACAAACAACAAACAAATATGAACAACATAAACAATAAAAGACGACCGCGGGTGACAATGGAGGCGGAGGCTACTGGACGGTGGGTTGGCGACTGATGGAAGATGGTTGTGGCTGAGGGGACGTGACAGGAGGGAAAAGCGGCAACTAGGAGATGGTTGTGATTGCTAGAAGAGGGTTGGAAGGTGCTGGCAACTGTAGGAGGGGATGCGGTTGCTGCAAAAGAGGGTTGGAAGGCGGCTAACAGCTAGAGGGGAGAGGTTGCGGTCGTTGAAAGAGGGTTGGAGTTGGACGGCAGCAGGAAGCAATGCCCTTGAAGGGTTAAACAGCAGCTAGAACATGTGTCGGTGGTCGGGCAGCAGCAGGGGTAGTCTAGCAGCACTCGGAAGGCTAGGCAGCAGCGGGAAAAGGATGACGTGAGCTGGACAGCAGCCGGATGGGGGATGGTGTGTTTTGGACAGCAGTTGGAAGGTGGTTTGCGACTGCTGTAAGTGGGGCCAGAGGGGCTACGAAAGGATAAATATCCCGTCGGGGTCAAAGCTACACTCGGAGCACCACCCGGACCCTTCGAGACGATCACAACCTCAGACAAATTATGGTTGGAGCACCTTCTACCGTCGGATACAACCCCCAGAGGGGAAGAACGCCTCAACGGCAACAACTAAAACCAGCAATAATGAAAAATTCCCTTTTCCAATCAATAAACAACATTATAAATAAGATGGGAGAAGAGGCTAGAATAGGTAAGTAAAGAAAATAGGCCAGGATTAAAGAAGAATGGTCAGGAAAGGCGGGAATTTAAAATGCAGTCCAAGTATGGAGGGAAGGATTAGAAAGGGGAGATTAGACCAGGAGAAACAAATAGAAAAGGGAATTAAATCTGAAAATGGATTACACTTACTGTAGCAGCTGCAATAAGTTTCTGCAGTATTGTAGCTACGACAGTACCAAGAGTGATAAGTTCCCGCGACAATCTCTCGGTATTGAGGAAGTTTCTACTTCATCCGTTTTTAGGGCAGAATAATTTTGGTAGGGTGGCTTGGGCAGAGGCGGATGCTAGGGAACCCAATGTTGGGCTAGCGTTGATAGCAAATGACACCGGAGGTAATCCAAACCACAACGAAATATTTATGAATTCCAAACGAATTACAAACATGACACTTGAAAAGCAGGAAGTAGCGACAAACAAACACGAACAACAAAAACAATAAAAGATGTCTGTGTGTGACAACAGGGACGGATGCTATTGGATGATGGTTTGGCGGCTGATGGAAGATGATTGTGGCTGAGGAGAGGTGGAAGGAAGGGGGAGCTGGAACATGGTTATGGTTGCTCGAAGAGGCTTAGAATGTGGCTAGCAGTTGTAGGAGAGGGATTGTGGTTGTTGGAAAAGGGTTAAAAGGTGGTTGACTGCTAAAGGGGAGGGGCTACGGTTGTTGGACGAGGTTTGTGGGTTGGACGACAGTATGAAGCAGTGTCTTTGAGGGGTTGGACACCAGCTGGAACATGTGCAGTGGTTGGGCAGGAGCAGGAGGTAGTCTGGAAAACAATCAAAAGGCTAGACAGCACCCGAAAGAAGAATGAAGTGAGTTGTTCAGCAACCGGAAGGGGGAAGGTATGATCTGGAGAGCTTTCAGAAGGTGGTTTGTGGCTGCTGGAAGTGGGGTCGGAGGGTTTGGGAAAAGATAAATGCCTTTTTGGGGTTGAGCTATAGCCAAAGCACCACCCATACCCTTGGAGACGGTCATCACCTCAGATGAACTACAGATGGAGCACCTCCTAGCCATCGGATACAGCTCCCAAAGAGGAAGAACACCCCAATAGCAGCAACTGAAATCAACAATCATGAAAAACTACACTTTTCCAATTAACACAACAATTATAAAAAAAAATGGGAGTAGAGGCTAGACTGAGTAAAGAAAGAGTGGATAGAAAAGGCAGGAAGTTGAAATGCAATCCAAGTATGGAGGGAAGAATTAGGAAGAGGAAATTAAAGCAGAAGAATCAAATAAGAAAGGAAATTAGATCTGAAAGGGGATCGCGGTTACTATAGTAGCAACAGTAACACGTCCGCGGTACTGTAGCTGCAACAGTACAGCGAGCGATAAGCTCCCAAGTCAATCTCCCAGGGTTGCGGGAGCTTAGCTTCATCCGTCAAAACTTTTAGGGCAGCAAAATTTTAATAGGTAGGGGCGGATGCTAGAGAACCATAGGATAGAACTAGAGTTGGCTACTTCTGATATCAAATGATATCAAAGATAACTCAAACCACAACAAAACAAAAATATTATTTCTGAATTCCAAACGGATTACAAACACGACAATCGAAAAGCAGGAAGCAACTATAAGCAAACAAAGAACATAAAAAATAAAAGACGCCCGCGGTTGACAATGGTGTTGGACAGTGGGTTGCGGCTGCTGGAACCTGGTTGTGGCGGAGGGGAGGTGGAAGGAGGGAAGGGCGATTGATGGAACATGGTTGTGTTTGCTATAAGAGGCCTAGAAGGTGGCCAGCAGTTGTAAAAGAGGGGTTGCGGTTGCTGGAAGAGGGTTGGAAGGAGGCTGACGACTGGAGGGGAGGGGTTGTGGTTGCTGGAAGAGGGGTTTGTGGGTTGGACGGCGATAGGAAGCAGTGTCCTTAAAAGACTGGATAGCAGCTGAAACATGTATCGGTGGTTGTGCAGCAGAGGAAGTAGTTTGAACAGCAACAGGAGGTAGTTTGGGCGGCACCCAGAAGAGGGATGACATGATTTGGACAATAGCTGGAAGAGGGATGGCATGGTCTAGACAGCGGCCAAAAGGTGGTTTGCGACTACTGGAAGCGGGGCCGGAGGGGCTATGAAAGGATAAATGTATTGTAGGGTCGAGCTACAGTCGTAGCACCACCCGGACTCTTACAGACAGTCACCACCTCAGACAAGTTACAGCTGAAACACCTGCTCGCAGTCGAATACAGCTCTCGGAGGGGAAGAACCTCTCAACAACAATAGCTGAAATCAGCAATCACTAAAAACTCCCCTTTTCCAATCAACACACAACAATTATAAATAAGATGGGAATAGAGGCTAGACTAAGTAGAGAAAATAGGCAAGGATTAAAGAAGAGTGGACAGGAAAGGAAGGAATTTGAATTGCAGTCCAAGTATAGAGGAAAGCATTAGGAAGGGAAAATTAGAATAAGAGGATCAAATAGAAAGAGAATTAAATCTAAAAGTGGACTGCAGTCACTGTAGCTGCTACAGTATCTCCCTCGGGAAAAAAGCTCCCGCGTCGGTGGGAATTTATCACCAATAATAAATGTTATGGACAACAAGAAGAACAACAATTACATATGTAAGTAATCAAAGTCAATGAATTCAACAAACCATTATTAGAGCTAAGAATTGGCCAGAAGATCAAGTTTTAATAGGTCAATGACCTAAAAATTGACTTATTCCATGTACTCTGAACATGGATAGAATGAAGTGTCACACGATATCAAATTGAATTGTATGTGCATATGAAACCATGACCTACATTTGCCTGCACGAATATTCTTTTATGCATGCATATATGCACAGCTGTGATATCTAGTATGACGGAAATTTTGACTTGAAAATAGAAAAATCAATCAAAACAAGATTTACTTTGTTTGGTTACATTAAGGCTTCGTTTGCCAGAGCGGGAAGCCTCCGTCGTGATGTGCAGAAAGCGAAGAAACGGAGCAAGTGTCATTTCGAGGAGACCCCATGTTGAGCTTCGCATCAACCGCAAAGTCCAAAATAGCATAAAATGGAGTGTTTCAGAATGGATATCCTTGGCTCCATTCTGCAACGGGACTTTTGAAGGAGTTCGCCAAATGGAGCCTAAGCGGGAATAGAATTTAACAGTTCCAGGGTTGAATAAGGATGAGATCAAGCTGGTTTAGAGTTAGGTGTAAACCATAAGCTAAGGTCAGATTTATTTATTATCTAATAATTTAAAATAAGCCAATTTACTATTAGAAGCGACTAATCAACTAATAACCCATGGACATTTTCTTAAATTAGGGAAGCAAAAAACATAAGGCTAAAATAAGTTCTCACGAAGAATCAACCCTCGTCTGGTTTGAGAAAATAATCAAGCCTGTAAAGGTATAACAAAGAAGGAAAACAACAAAAGTGAAAAGCCATATGAAGCTATGCCAAAGATTACAATCAAAAGCACTACCTGAAATGCAATGTCACTTGCATCTATTGCATATACCTACAAAAGTTTTATAAGAACAAGGAAGTCAGAATCAGAATTAAAAAATAAAATAAAAATAAATAAATAACAAAGCATTCAGAATGGATAAAATTATGTTGCAATGGCATGTATGGTATATAGAAGGGAAAAACCTGCTTCTATTTACGAGAGGAAACAATGAATTTTAAAGGGTGAGAAAATACAAAATAAAATGCAATATATATAGCGTTTTGCAAATTGGACAAGTATTAAGCAATTTACAAAATTAACCCAATGTATCTCTTGTATGCTCTATACTTCCTGAACAAAAAACCAAATAAAGATTAAGCAAATGCCAAGAGATTTCCTAGGTTTAAAAAATGAGTTCAGATACCTGTTCTTGCAACACCATGCTAAGGCCACAGTAAGTAGCATGCCAACAATAACCCTAGGGCAGCTCATTGTTTAAAAAGGTGGTTGATTCTTATGTCGCGAGGGGCGGCTCAAATTGATGCGCACAAAAAAGGCCTTGAGGCTTAACCCTCACTGCCACCGGTGAGGCTTACGCCTTTTTCATTTAAGGCTTACACTTCGAGGCATTTGGCAAAAAAATACTTTTTATATTATATTTTATTATACTTTATTATATTTAATATATCTGATACAATCCTCAAAAATGTCAGAAGATAATTTAAATATGATTATTTGATTGTGTTAATTATTTATTTCTTTATTTAAATTATATTGAATTTCAAATTAATTAATAGAATAAAAAATATTTTAAAGTTTTCAATATGTCAGAATTAGATGATAAGAAATATGATGATTTTTCTAAGATGAAAAAAAGTAATAATGAGGCCACTATGGATCTTGAACCTCATAGAATATTTAAATTTTAAGTGAATGTTTATCTAAAATCACATTTCTAACTTCTATTTTATATCAATTTAGAAGATTCAGATTTGTAGTTTATGTATTTATGATAATAAACTAAATCAACTTATTAATAGTTTGTCATATTTATGAAGTATTTTGCTGTGGGAGTTTACTGTGGACGCAGTACAGTACTGTAGTTGCTATAGTGCTACGGTCTAGCCCATGGGACTCACAGCCTAAAGGGAAAAGAACCTCCCTGTCCACATCGGCTACCCCCATTCCTTGCCTATTTCTCTTTCTTGCCCTTTCTATACCTTCCTATTCTAATTCATTTCTATTATAACTACTAGTAAATATTATATCAACATACATATATATATATATATGTATGTATGTATGTATGTATGTATGTATGTATGAATGAATGAATGTATGTATGTTGATTGCTTCCGTAGGGTTTGGTTCCTGATTATTTTTTATTTCAGCTTGTTGCCCCTAGGGTATTTCTCCCCTCCGAGGGTTGTATTTGGTATCTATAAGTCGTCCGACGTGGTGATTGTTTTCGTGCGTTCCAACCTTCCTGCTATTGCCAGCCCCTCCAAGGCCTGTTCCGGCAGATGCCAACCCCTCCGGGGCCTGTCTTTGCTACAGCCAGCCCCTCCAAGCCCTGTCCATGTTGTCGCCAGCCCCACCAGGGCCTCTTCCTGCTGCTGTTCAGCCACAGCCGCCTCTTCCTGCTGCCATCCAGCTCACAGCCGCCTCTTCCTGCTGCTATACAGTTCACCAGTCGGCACTGTCGAAGCTCTCTTCCTTTCCTTTCGGGCCTGTCGCTCTCCTCTAGAGTTGTTAAGGTGTTTTGTGTTGTTTTCTTTCTTATTTTGTAGAGTCTCCGTTGGCACCTATCGTCTGCATGTTTGTGTTGTTTTGAATTCGAGTATTCATCGTTGTAATTTTTGAATGCAGTAATAAAATTTATCGTTTGATCGTGATTTGAGTTAACTACAATATCATATTTTTAATTGCCTTTTTATTTTATAAGGCTTATGCCTTGATCCACCTTGCCTCACGACAAATCACCTTGATTCTTGATTTCGCCTTTTTAAACTTTGGTGCAACTAAAGATTGCCAAAACATATATCAAATATACATGTGTTAATAAAGACAAACATCCAGAAAAAAATTTTGAAGGTCTGAATCTTGAGATCTTACCTGGAAATTTGAAAGTGCATGCTCATTGGAAACATGAGTGCATCAATAGTATGAGTTGTGATGTTTACTTTAAGGGCATTTACATACACACTGCCAAATCTCATGTATTCGGATATTTAACACTTAAACTTTACTTTTTACACTTATACCACCCAAATCTTTCAACATCACATAAAAATCACATAAAAAATACCACTATTTTAACTTTAAAAGGTCCAATGTACCTTTTCATGCATAGGTAAGGTAGCATATATAAAAAAATTGAAGTTTTGATGTTAGATATGTAAATGCAAAGGAATTAAGCGGTATTTATCAAAATTTCCTTACTTTAATTGTTATATTAATGGTTTTTGTTTTCTAGCTTATATATTGGATGTAACAGGCCTAAGATAATTATTCTTATGACAACGGAATATATTCTACAGTGTTTTGATTATCTCATCAGGTTTGATTTACTGCTGCAAGTGGTTTCAATTCAACAAGCATCAAATATTGGTGAACCAATAAGTTGTGACACTAACTGTGTTTCCTTTGTCACCTGTGTGTTTCTTTTGCAACTACTCGCCTTCAATCATTGTTTGTCTCCATCCCTGCCATAGCATTGACCACAAGATGTGCTACAAGGAGTTTTATCTGTTCTAATTGTAATTGCCTTATGTGACCCTTTCCTGCACATTTTCATTCTACAACTCCTCTATGTGTTATGTTTTTTCTTCTGGGGGACAGTCAATTTCCCTCCTATGATCTTCTATTATGACTGAAAAGCGTATATTGGTTATCATGAATCTGGACTTAAAAGGAAAAGATTTAAACTTATGTAATTGATGCTGGTTGAATTGATACTTACAATTTTAGACCATATTTGATAATGAGAGTTACTGATTTTGGGTCATATGGGACATAAATAGGACCCTTAACCTATGTAATAATGATTGATGAATAAAATTCTTATTATTCTCTTAATATATGTTTTGTTCTTGGGGATTCTGAGCAATTTCCAAGTCTTGATGAAAACTTTCGAGAGTTGCTTCTTTTTATGCTGAGTTGAGTTCTTGATATTTAAATTGGTGATTTCTATAATGTTCCTCATCTAAACTATTAGTAATTGTTTTATGTGTGCCATTGAGATCACGTTAAGATCAGCACAATTTAGTTCCTATTTTCGTGATATGAATTTTGATCATTGTGGAATTTCCTATTTGTTTTCAGATTTCTCATGAAATCCAAATTCAAATAACTTTATAATATTTTGTGCGATACTAAAATGTGAAACCGTGAATAATGATATTTTGTGTGCATCTCAACCTAGATTTGCATTAATGGTATGTCCAATATCACATGGAATAGCATAAATCATGAATGAGGGCACCAACAGCAACATTTAGATTTAAGCTATGCATCAAGTGGGCACTGGATGGTCAGCATACCAGCTTGACACTTTGAACCTGGCAATGCATCAAATGGAGATCAACATCCACGGGCATTTTGAGTGACTCATACGAGAGATTTCATAGCACTAATCTTAAGCAAACTATGCTTAGGTTCCCTCTTTTCCCTGCACAAAAATAAAACGCATTTTCCATTTGCCGAGATTATTCGAAGCACCTGGTCACAGGTTTAGACTACTCCCTAGAGTGCCAACTTAAGCAAAAATGTTAAAACCATAAGAAAAGCTTGCAAATTATTATTGATGAATAAATCTAGCAGATGTGGAGCTTTATATTAAGCATATGTTATAAGAAACATATCATCTTTTGTTGTTGACTGAAAAAGGAAAGTTGGGGCGTCAAGGGATTGGAACATTAGTGTTCGGAGAAAGTAATAAGAAATGTCTTACCCGCCTAGCACCAGCAAGAGCACAAAATATTGCAAGAATTCCTGTGCCACACCCAACATCCATTACAACCTGGATATATTGTCATTAAGAGTAAGAAATTTATGATCTATTGATATTTTCATTTCTTTTTTTCTTTTTTTCTTTTTTTCTTTTTTTCAGAAGAAAGACCTTAGATATTTTCATATTTCAAATGTATCACAGAAAATATATTTTTTACGTAATACCTTGCCAGCAATTGAATCTTGGTAGCGCATGATTGCAGCCCTGTATGTGCTGGTCCGCACCTGATCCTATAGTATAATCATATGCTCAAAAGTATTGATAATGAAAAAAATAATAATATACAAAATAAGTGATTTAATAAACAAAAGAAGCACGTAGCAATAAAAAAGTAAATCAATAAAAAAATTAATCTCTAGACGTTTTAGGTTTGATCCGAAACTTTTATAGAGTCCAATGATAACGAAGTTAACCCAAACAACAATAGGAAAATAATTAAAATTACTAAAAGCAAATAATCTTAATATCGTTAATAATACTATTTTTTTTAAATTTTACAGTCGCAATAGTAAAAAGAAAGTTGATGAGGCTTTAAAGAAAACCAAAGATGAAAAATCATTAAAATTTGATTGTATCCCAATATAATTGTGAAAATATTTAAGAGATTTGAGAGTTTCTTTGACTTACTAAATTTTTTTATATTATTTTAAAAACTAAAAAGATGTTTGAATGGGAGAAGAGTATTTTAGTCCCATTTTTAAGAATAAAGTGAATGTGCATCAGTGCGCAAATTATAGAAGAATTAATGTGTTGTACATTAAAATTATTAGAGAGGGTAATTAAGCATAGGTTAAGACGCGATACACGGATTTTTCATAATCAGTTTGGATTTATGTCGGGTATGCATATTATGGAAGTCATACATTTATCGAGAGGTTTGATGGAGAAGTACAGAGACAGTAAGGAGGATCTACATATGATTTTTATTGATTTAGAAAAAGCTTACGATGAAGTTACAAGAGAAGTTCTTTGGAGACTTCTAGACAAAAAAGGTGTTAATATGACTTATATTCTAATCATTAAAGATATGTATAATAGAGTTATTACTTGTGATCGAACAGAAGGAGGATTGACCAAATATTTTCATATTTCAATTGGATTACATCAGGGATCAGTTTTAAACCTCCCTATCATTTAGCTTTAGTTATGGATGCTCTTACTGGACATTTATAGAAGGATGAACCTTGTTGTATGTTTTTTTGTTGATGATATCCTTCTTATGGATGAGACTAGAGAAAGAGTACAAGAAAAACTTGAATTATGGAAGCCTACATTAGAGTTTAAAGGCCTTCATTTTGATAAATCTAAAAGTAAATGCATGAATGTAATTTTAATAGTAGTAGATCTAGTGGCAAAGTTATAATAATAGGTAATCAAGTCATTAAAAAGAGTGAACTTTTGATATATCTCGAGTTTATTGTCCAAAGTGATGGTGATATACATGGCATGTTATTCTTAGAATTCAAGTTGGATGATTAAAATGGAGGAATGCACCAGTCGTATTGTGTGATAGAAAAGTGTGGCTTAAACTTGAAGATTTTATAAGATGGTGGTGAGACTTGCAATGCTTTATGGCGCAGAATATTAGTTTATAAAAGAGATGCATAGAACTTAGTGTTGCTGAGATGAGAATGCTTAGGTGAATGAGTGGTTTGACACTTAGAGACAAAATGTGAAACGAATGTATCCGTGAAAGAGTTGGTAGCTCTAGTGGAAAACAAGATTAAAGAGAGTCGCCTTAGTTGGTTTGGTCACATTAAACGTTGGTCATCTAATGATCCGGACAGGAGAGTAGATGTTTTAGATTTGACTTATGTTGAGAAAGGTACATGTATATCTAAAAAGACCTGGACATGTATAAAAAATGATCTTAATTTATTAGAATTAAATGAAAATATGACACTCAATAGGACACAATGGAAAAAAAGGATTCATGTAACCAACCCCACTTAGTGATATAAAAGCTTTTTGTTGTTGTTTAAAATATAAGTATATGAGTTTTTTTAGGGTAAAAAGTCAAAGACAACTGCTGTCCAGGGGACAAATAGCTGGAAATGCAGCCAAATGTCGACATTAGCAAGCACAAACACCAAGGAAGATTCACCACATATTCCTAAAGGAAACAGGAACACCTCTTGAGCGAGAAAAAAGATTCAACATTCTTTTAGGGTTGAAATTAGAGAACACAATCTCCAAATCGCATAAATGAAAGCCAGAAGTCCCAAAACCAAAAATTAGCAACATATTTATCTGTCCAAAAGCTAATTAACACCAATATTATTATAAATAAGGTAAATAGGATCCCCTAGACCCGACCATGGGGGGGGGGGGGGGGGGTCGGAGAAGGACACACACAGGGGGATAGCGCAAACTAATCCCTTCTGGACCGATTCAGTTGGCCACATCCGGCAAGCTGGTCGGTTTGGAAAAATAGATCATGGAATGATGTCTATGGCATGCTAGATTTCTTACAGTGGTTGCAACCCAGAAAGTAGAGTATCTAGCAGGACATCCTAAAACCCTCTCAGTAAGGGTTGCACTATATCTAACATCGGCTCATCGGACTCGCCACCTCCTAAAGCCACCAATAATAATCTTATTGGTGCTTCTTTCAATGACTGCAAAAAGATAGCTTGTGACACTATAATCTTAGACTTTGTATGAACACCCATTACCTCAAACTTCTTCCAAGATAAGAGTATGACGCACTTCCCATCCCTGATGAATGAATATATATTATTGTAGTCATCATGACATGTGCAACGATCGTATTACCAATGATAATCCAGTAGGAAGTGACAACATCCATAGATGCCACTTTACATAGCGGTTGTTCCTGAAACTTATCTCATAAAAAATGTCACGAGGTATCTTCAGTCAATTATAACTTTATTTTAATTCTTTAACCAAAATAGGAATAAGAATGTGTGTGCTTCTGTGTGATAAGGCTCAACTCATCGACTATTCCACAATCTTGCAACCGCCTGTATTTATAATAAGAATGCCCACATCTTATTTCATAATACGATAGGAATGAAAGATGTTGTGGTGGAACCACTGTTGCTCTATCGTGGCCTCAGTCTGAAAGATCTATCGTACAACTAGCATCTCTTTTGTCGACTGTAAGTTAATACACTTTTCTAGCATCCTCATTTCTCATGTGTCTCATGTGTTACTATGTATTTTCTTCCACTGCTCCTCCTCGGTGAAAGAAATTACCCTCTTATATAAGCAATCAGAAGTAATATGTTGAAAACTATGACACTTGAAATACTTTGTGACTCTGATGAGTGATTCGGGAGTGTTGGTGGCCCTCAATTTTTCTCCATCTTGGGTTGATTTCTCCTCATGAGGGGTTGGCTCGGGTACTCAAATAGGTGTGCTTTTGTTGCATGGTGCAATTGTTAAACTATATTTTAAGATTGGTATCGACCATATACTATTGTGTTATATTTCCACCATCAAGGCTAAAGTTTAAACATCTTATAACGTTCAATAGAGTTGTAACTATACCATGTTATCAATGGATGGTCGCACTCCAAGATATCGAGAGTATGGTGTTTTTTCTTGGACTCCACTAGCTTACATTTCAACATGAGCCCGTATTTCTCTAGTTAGAGGTCTTTATGTCATAAGTGATGTCTCAAGAAAATATCATGTTTGTAATGTGTATGTAGGTAATTGCGATGTATCTTACTCTTTATCTTAGAATTGGTTGTCATCTTATTTTTTCCCTTATGCTGGCACGGGCAGTTCAAGTTCTTCCACCAGAAAGAAGTACATTCATTTAACTTAATAGCAGCTAAACTTCACTTTCTTGTCAGGTGAAACATCCTTATACCAAAGACCTATTCTACAATCAAAAGCCATTCAAAAAACTCATTTGGATCCATATGACCATCTAGCATATCAACCTTCACTCCAAAGCCATTCTTGCTCCTCTTATACTCAATGTTGAATGAACACGGCATCAATTCTCATCGCATGAGGTTTCTTAGTAGAAAGGATTTTCTTCTTCTAAATTTGTGTGGCTGACTCATGGAACTAGGATAATGTAAATTGATCCCTTGTACATGCATCTCAGCTTGCTTTGGAGCAGACATTGAAGCGGGATAGCGAGTGAGAGCGAGATCGCGACAGGAGCGGAATCAGGATCTGAAGCGAGATTGGGTAGACTGCACCAATTGGTGCATTGATACAAATAGATATGGGACATGCAAAGTCATTTGTTGATGAGTTAGTGAACGGAGGTCTGCTTGTTGGGGTGTAGAAGACAGTATGTGGAAACCATTGTTGTTGTTTGTAAAACCAATTTGTGGTAGTTTTGGCAATTTGCATGAGGATTCAGTTTCTAGTTGCTCGAAAGCATTGTGAAGTTGTGCACCAAGGCCTTTGCTAGCTTCCTAAGATCCTTAGAGAGCGCACTAGCACGCATACTCAAAGGTTGCTGCAATTTATTAGAAGGAAATGCCATTGGCAGTGTGGCTAATTAGAAATTTGTAGGTTTTTGGTTGTTATAAACAAAGAGTGCAGTATGCACGCTTGTTTATCAGAATTTTCATTTATAATAACATTATTTTTTTGTTCTTTGTGAACAAATGATTGATAGTGTTTAATCAAATAAATTTGGCAGAGTCCTTTGGCTTCCTTTTTGTAAACATGTGGTTGTCATGTTCATACTTTATCTTGTAGAAAGTTAAACACAAGGAGCTAAACTAAATTTTCATGCATGGGTTGAAATATGCAATAAAAAAATTTATGTCAATTTTAGGCCTTCTAAAAAATGGCGTGTAAACGAAAGTTAAAGACTCTTTAATGGAGATTGTAGTCATAGTACAAAAAACAATTTCTCGCCATGAGGTTCTCGTGAGAAGTCTCTCTCCCAAAGATTGGAGAAGTCTAGTTGATTGTTTGTTGAAGGTGCAACAACAACTACGGATTTTGAAAGGTCTTTGTGAAAAATAAGGCTTAAGTGGCTCATCAATATGACAAGGTTGTGGAGCTAGTAGTTTCACGCAGAGTATTGGTGCAATCTCAATACAAGTGAAACCACAAAAAAAGTTAATAATGGAATGCGAGGGAGCTAAAAAACTTCCTGTGCAGCATAAGAGCAGCATTTGTTTTCATCATGCACAGTACTTAGTAAAACAACTTTTGTGGTGGACTGGAGCATCAAATGCTTGATGCTCTCCTCGCACAAAGGCTTCCAATTTCGACACCAGAAAACTTAAGAGAAGAGGTGAAGAATTAATTCCTTCCTAATTACTTCGCATGTGTTGCTCAAGATGTACTTTCTCGCCACATGTAGACCGATATGTGAATTCTCTAAGGTTTGCAACTATGTTATCAGATGTGGTTGTGTTGAAATAATCTTAAAATTTTCCTGGTGTGATCACAGCTCCAAAGGAATTGGTTGCATTTAAAAACACTATAAAGGAGCTTGATGATGATAGTAAAGAGCAGTTGAAGTCAACTCAAAGCTGGAAGAATGCAGCAAATGGTGATGAAACCCTGAAGAAGGATGCTACATGAGGATAATTCAATGGAGGAATTGCTTGGTACCTTCACATAAATCCAACGAGGGCGTTGGATTCTAGTTGAGGGGGAGGGGATCATATTCATGATGATTGAGGAGAACTTAGGCATTAAATAATCGTCTTGAATCCTTCACTAGTCCAAGAGAAGGCAAGGCAAATATTGTGACTTGCTGCAAAGCCACTAGGTGCATAGAGGTGCGCACTGGATGCGTGGGATAAGTGCAAGTGTGTCAAGCAAGCAACGCATGAGGTAAAGATGTTGCAAGATCACATGCAATGGATTAGAATGATGTGTTATGTGCATGTGGTGGTTGTGTGCTCATGTAGGGGTTCACATACAAAGGGGGAGCACATTTTATGACTCGTGCAAGTAGTGGCGGCGCTTATTATGAAATGAGCTTGAAATGACTTTTGCATGTAATTGATATGCAACAAGAAGTGTTGTGCATATGAAGTGTATATCTGAAAAAGATATGTACATGCATGTGAAGGTGTGTGTGAAAGCAGATGCGAGCATGGAGATGCTCCCTACAATCCAGATGGCATGCAAACTCAATCATACACATTTAATAGTTATTGATAGTTGAGTGCAATCATGTGCAAAATAGAGGCCCACATATGCTGTGGTGGATGTGTAGCCAATGTCATTAGCAGAAATGGTAGAGATGGCAAATCGATTGTGAAACAAATAAACTATGAGCACGTATAGAAGGATATGCACGAATAATTATAGCGCAAGTAATTCACAGAGGCCATCAATGATTTAGGCCAAACGCACAAGTTGTATGCATGTGACACCATGCTGCTTGTAATGAGCGGAAGTAGCCAAGCCTTGCAAGTTAATTGTTCAAATGGTGTGTGCATAATGTGAAACTACATGCAGTTGCATAGAACATGTTCACATGTGACTAACATGCATGCAGTAACTATTCAAATATTGTTGCATGCATACAAAGGTAAACTGCACATGCACATTGATATAGTGTGCTGAAACAATTGCAAAAAATTGCCAAAATATTTTTCTTCTACTATCTCTATTCAAGGGGACGCCTAAAGAAAGGAGAATGATGGGGAAAACAATGGCTGAAGCCAAAGAAATGTTGTCATCTACAAAAGCTCTTAGGGTGGAGCTCGTAACTATTACAATTAAAGAACAAAGCTGTTATGTGGTGTCTGAAAAACTGTTTGCTGTGCACTAGCACACACATATAGAAGCTATCGGTGTTTCTCTCAGGGAAATTACCTGCTAATGGCCATAAATCTATGCTAGTGTACATGGGGGTTCATGTAAAGATTGCCATCATCTCTTTCCAAAGTCCATTCCAGTTGGTAGTGGCCAAATATCTACCCTATTCGTACATTCGAAGAAAGAAGCAACATGCTAGGATGTTTTTAAAAACCAAAGGCCTTCATACTTGGATGCAGCAAAGTGCATATCAAGATAATCAGCGATATTTGAGGTTACATTTGGTGGTGACTTGGGCAATTGGAGTGGAACCAATGGTTGAAGATATTGCTCTAGTTTGTAGACGCAAATTGGCGAACAACTTGCAGATTTAATTGTTGGTAAACAAAGATGTTCTTGTTGGAATGCACAGGAGTGCACTCGAAGAGCACCATTTGCGGTGGCTTAAGCATTAGCATGCAAATAGAACAGTTGGTTGCTCGAGATCACTAGATTGGTGTTCATGAATGACGCAAGTCCATAACTTTTGAGATGTTGGCATACAAGTGTGCAAAGCGTTTTCCGGTTGCTCAAAATCTATGCATTGAGAGTGCATTAACATACACACACAAAGGCCGTTGCCATGCATTGGAGACATAAGACATTGATAGTGTGGCTATAGAACTCCTTGATCAGCATTGTGTACATGTAAAATTTGTACGGGCTTTTGGTATTTGTATGGGCTTTTGGTATTCTATAAGTAACATTTACAAGAATGCATGGCGAGTGTATTGTATACACTTACGTGCGAGGAGTTTCTTTTAAAAGCTCCATCTTTTAGTTCTTGGTGAAAACAAATGTCTAAGGTGTGTAATGATATAAATCAGTGATGTCCCCTGGTTCTTTATATCATATTTGTGTATCATCCAAGACTAAGCATCTTGCAGAAGGCTGAATCTAGGGAGGGGTACACCAGATGACAACATATTGTGAGTAGCTTGCAGATGGATGAATCTAGAGAGGAGTAATCGAACTTGTTCCACATGGGTTGAGATTATCGGTGAAACTTATTGCGTGAACGGTTGACATTGTGCACATATCATAATTAAGAGTTTGTCTTAAAAATGTACCAGAATCATTTCTATAGAAAAAGGTGGGAACCATGGGGCATATAGGAATGTATTCTCTACAACTCCTGCCATTCAGTTCGTTCTTTTTAAAACAATTGATTCAAGTGAGGAACCAGCCAGAACAGTCAACACCACATACCAGGTTTACCACCATTTTAATAGAATTAGCAATCACGAAATTGTCAATTCTGATGCCAATATTGTAGCGTAATTGGGCATTCATAACTAGCGTCCACTAACATAAAGTGTTTTTATGGGAATATTATAAATAACAGTTTCGTTTCGAAGCTTGCTCTTAATAGCACATTTAATTTTTATTCTAAATCAGTGGTCATTAATCGTTCGTTAACCACATTTATAATCAACAATAGCAAATCCTCAACCCGCCAACAAGTTTCGTTTCACAGACAATAACTAAACCAATCTCAATACAAGAGCGTAATGAGCACGACAATGATGAGCATACCTTGATCATCTCTTCATGTATTCCAATGTCCGAGTAAGCCTGAAAGTAGGCCTTATCATACTCAGTACAAGGGGGAACGGGGTTCTTCTCCTGGAACTGCTGGCCGTGATGCGATACCCTAAAGCCACCACCAGGGCCGCCTCGCCCTCTTCGCGGCCGCCCTTCTCGCTGCTGCCCAGCCCTACAATGTCCATTACTGGAGCCCGAGTAACCATGTAACATTGCCGCTTTCAGACAGTAGGGAAATGGTCGAAAGAAGCAAGAGCCGAAGAGGGCAAGAGATAAGACTGTGAGCTCAGTGTTTACGCCTGATCGGATCCAAATCTAAGAGTCGGGAGTGAGAGTTGAAGAGAAAAGGAGCGGAATGGGGTGCCGCAGTCGCGTGACGGCGTCCGGTGCTTGCGTGGATGTCGCTGGTCCGAAACCGCAAAGTTGCGGGGACGAGGCATCAAGAATAGGACAAGGAACGCATTTTCGTGGAAATGAGACGGCTAAATTTTTGGGGTGGTTAAGCTAGTTTAAATTTTTTGTCCTTCCTAATAAATAATGTATTTGGCAAATTATTAAAAGGCAAGTTATTAATCTTTATAGGTAATAGAAATATAGATAAAATTGTGTGTGGATTAGGAGGAAAAAATGGAGAAGAGCTGCGCGATTAATATTAAACTTAGGTTTTAGATGAGTTTTAATATTTGTACATGTAAAAATATATCAGCACGAATCTCAAAGCAGATGAACAGCTCAAGAAAAAAAATGTGGACAATGAGACATAGCCTTCAACGATCGTTTTTTGGTTGAATATTGGCAAGATAAGCGTCTTGTTCGAACAATCGGCAGAAGGCGCCAGGAGAAGCTCCCTCTAGGTGGTAATTAACCTTCTGGGTGATCAACGGGGAGTACTCTTTCGGACTAGATATTAATCGAGTCAAGGTTTACTAGACGATCGACAATTCTCATCGGTCGAATCAGTCCAATGTTTTATTATATGTGAATAACTCTATCATAAAAATTTAATGATAAGAGGGCTAATATGTACTTTTGAAATGTTGGGACTTATGTCTATAAATAAGAGTTCATGTCATGAATAAGATACTCTCATTTACGGTTGGATATTGCTTTCTCTCTCTCTCTCTCTCTCTCTCTCTCTCTTTCTTTATTCACTTCCTAGCAGAATGTTCTATTCTTTGGGTGTGGTTCTCGGACTTCTTTGGATTCAACATCTTTTAAGATGTGGTAAGCGGGAAACATGTCGTCAAAAAAAAAGAAGAACCCAACAACAACAGCGGGGAGAGTCCAGCCAGAGAAACATAGGAGAAGCAACATGCACCCAGGAGTTTTTGAAAGAATTTGTTCAACAAGGCCTGCAAGATTTCAGAACTCGAATCATCAACTAGATGTCAGGAAAGTTACCATAACTTCTTAGGGCGGTCACTGTCCTAGCAGGTGTCCTAGTTCCAGATGAAGAGCCAACATGAAAAGGAACACTCGACCCCCCTAAAGGAGAGTCACCAACCAACAATAGAAGGAGAGTGATCCACCTGCATGAAAAGCTTGACGACGTTCTATACCAATCCAACACCGGATCCACCAACGTTGAGGAGGAAACCAACCAGTGTGAACTGAGGTACAAAAACAGCCTAAAACACCTTCTCCCTACAGGTCTCCGAATTTGAACCCTCAGAGAAGTTCAAGATGTCGGTCTTAAATGTGTATAAAGGACGGTCGGATCCCAATGGTCGCCTCATGTTGTTTGAATAATTCATATGCCTGTTGAAATTTTCTGATGCCCCCAATTGTAAGCTCTTCTTCACGACATTAAGATCAACCACATTAAGGTGGTTCGATGGATCAACAACATTAAGATCATGTGGTAGCTAAAGTAGGGAGCCAACGAGAGCTTGTGGTTGTTTATCGCATGCTTCCAGAGCAAAGCTTTAGACGTCAAAAACTTGAAGCCCGACATAGCCCAGGCTGCACTAACACAATGAATGAGGTCAGAGAGGTTTCATTTCGACCTCGAACTTGCATAGCCACTAAGCTTGTCCGAGTTGTTAGAATGCCCAAAAAATATATTGTCACATATGAGAACGCCCTTGAGCCCGCCAAACAAAGACACCAAAAGATATTGCCACAAGACAACAGAGGACAGCCTAAACAAAGTGCACGATCGCCTAATCGCCTCCGCTATAAGGGACACTCGATAATCACTCCATCCAGTGTCATGAGGATCGAAAGCAATAAACCAAGGCCCGAAACCAGGAAACCTCACTCAGGGTGTCCGTGGAAAAAATAGTGGACGTCATCCAGAATAAGGAGTTCTTCGGCAAAGCAATGTCAATGAGGGCTAGAGCTTTTCTTCAGGATAATCGAAAACGACTATAAGTACCACAGAGATCATAGGCATGATACAGAAGAATGCAGACATAAGGTTAATGCTTTTAGGAAGCTTTTTCTGAATTATAATGTTGCACTCCTCAATAAGCGCAACAGTCTCGTGATCTCCAAACTTTCTCTTCTTATTAAGGATGTCCTTTATAAACTTTATATAGCCAGACATTTGCTTCAAAGCTTCAGTGAAAGGAATATTTATAGTTAGCTTTTTAAATATTTTCATAAATTTTGAAAATTCTTGATTCAACTTCTGTTGTCTAAGTCTTTGAGGAAATGGAGGTGATGGTTTTTTTAAGTTAAGCCTAGTTGGAGAGATTTATTTTTCAAGATCCTTAGAAAAATTTTCTTCAAATCTTTTTGTTTCCACAACCACTCTCTCAACCTCAATCTCATTTTGAACTTTATCCTTTAACTCTCTTCCACTTCTTAGTTTGATAGCTTTAACTTACTCTTTATTCTTCTCTTTAGGGTTTATCTTAGTGTTGCTAGGAAGTTTTCCTTGTGGTCTATTGCTGAGTAGCTTAGGAATTTGTTCATGTTGATTCTATATATTTCTTATCATCGCACCTTGACTTTTCAATTGATTTCTCATTTATAACACTTCATCTATAGATAAATTATTTTCCTTACATTGTTGATTATTATTAAATCTCGGTAGATACGAAGGTCTATAATAGGCAGTACTCTGGTTATTCCAGTATTCTACATAATTTACTTGATTATTTCCTCATTGTTGGTTTCCACCTCCAAAATTATTATTTTAGTTAAAGATAGGGTGGTTCTTCCAACCTGGGTTATAAAAGTTAGAATAAGGGATGTTAGGTTTGTTGTTAGTTGCATTTAAAGTCTCAAATTATGAAGTTTTAGAACTGACCATCTATCAAAATGAACTTTCCAAAATTACTGAAGTAATTTGAGGTTGATTCATTTTAAATTGATCTAACTTCCTAGATATTGCTACAACCCGAGAAGCAAGAATTGTAATCACATTCGTATCATGAATAATAACTACATTTCTAGGATTTACCCTTTTAGAAGGCCAATGAAAATTATTTGTAGCAATCTCTTTAATTAAGGAGTAAGCTTCATCAAATGACTTTGACAAGAATGAGCCACCAACAACAACGTTAATGATAGATTTGAGGGATCCTACTAACCCATTGTAGAAAGTTTGAATGATTAACCAATCATATAGAGTATGATGTGGACACTTCCTAAAAAGTTTCTTAAATCATTCTCATGCTTCATATATTGATTCACCTTTATACTAGCAAAATGAGGTAGATTCATTTCTAAGTTTAGCAATTTTTGAAGGTGAAAAATATTTAGCTAGGAATTTCTGAGCTAAATCATCTCCAAGTTCTGATAGATCCATGTGCTAACAAATTCAAACTTGTTTTAGCTTTATCCCTTAAGGAAAAGGGAAAAAGCTAAAGTTTAACAATATAATTTGACACGTCGTTATAACAAAATGTAGCACATAGTCTAGAAAACTTGTTAGGTATAAATTTGAATCCTTAGAGAGAGCCCCCCAAACTGGTTGTTTGACATTATTTGGATAATAACAGGTTTCAACTCAAATGTATTATTTTCTACGGCAGGAGTTTCCATACTTATGTGAATTTTGTCTGCCTTCAGAGTAATCTCTTAATGGTCTATGTGTGTTATAATTGTTATGAGGTTCATTTTCAATGTTTGATTATCTAAGTTGTTTTGTTGATTATTTGTCATTTCTTCTACAAATTGATGATGAACTTTTAGTTTTTTAATCCTTCAATCATTCTTTCTAATTCCGTATTGTAGGGCATAAGTCTTGAAGAACCTAAACTACGCATAAACAATTAAAAACTTAATAATAAATTGCAGAAAAACACAAAACAAATAATCAAATAGAAATTTTTTTTTTAAATATTTTTAACGCATAAATAAACAATTACAAAAAGAAATTATAATACAATTTTTCAAATTTAAGTTTAATTAGTTCAATAAAAATTTTCCTAAGTCAAATTAGTCGTTGCATTTCCCCAACAATGACGCTAAAAATTTGACTGACCTTTGATATACGCAGTGATTTAAGGATGAAATATGATAATTCAAAAATATATTTTATAAATTTTATAACCAGAGTTTTTCCAGGGTTTAGCACTACACACTAGGTACTTTACGCAAGTGCACGTATCGTTCAAGTATTATAAAGTATAGATTCCACATGGAAAGCTGTTAAATTTTAAAGCCTCCAGAAAATTTCTAATTGAATAAAAAGAGACTTAGCTTATATATAAGCTCGATTTAGGTCATGCTAGAGAATTCTACCAAATTTCCACTAATCTTATAAATTTACTATAAAGCTATTTTTACAAAAGTTAAATAAGTTAAGAGAATTCAAGATATGAAAAATGCTCTCCCCTTGCGATGAAATTAGTAATTCTGTGTAGGAATGTATCACTTAGAAATTATATTTAAATTTGTGACAAATTGGAGCATTCATTTTATTTACCCTTTTCCAAGAGCATTGAGAAATTAGGATTAACTAGGTAGGTGTTTCTGCCTAACACCCTAAAAACCTCAAAGTTACCCCCAATAAAATTATCTCCCTATTGTTGACCTCACTTTTGGTTGAGGTCTA